GTTCGACGACCCCGACGGCCGGGAATTCTTCGAGTGCTTCCGAATGTCACGAGCAAGGTAGGGTGTGCTGCTTTTTATTTTGGATTATTTTCACGTTATATATCAAGTGGCGTTCCACATGGGCTCGCGCGTCGCTCGCAGGAATACTCACCTGGAGAGTGCGCTCCCGCAGTGAAAGCACGTTTATATCATTTTTAACGCGGCAGGATCACGAGAGCAGCTTTCTTAGCAGTCACACGCTTGTCAAATTTTACTGCGTCTGTGCTATAAAAAAATAGCAATGGCATGCACATGTGCAGCTCGTACGACACACTCTTTTGGTCCACAAAATCTGGTCACGGTGTTGTGCTCCTTCGAGTGCATGTATGACGGAAGCCTGTTGTGCTTCCTTGTCCTTTGTGCTAGCTAGGATGTGTGCTTACAAGCTTTCTGCACGAAAGCTCGCGCTGCAGAACCCAGGGATCTTGGGTTCAATCCCCACCCCTGCCCGTTCCGATCTGGATGAGCCTCGTACCAGCAGACCTTCGTGTTTCACTACTGCGTGACGGGTGTTAAAGACCCTAGGCTAGCGGTCGCACAGTACTGCCTAAAAACTGGTCTACAGCGCGTACCGTCGTTGACCTTTTTAACCTTTTAAGTGTCAGATGTAGCTCGCACGCACAATGGTTGCAGCTAGGCACGTAGCCAGGATTTTGTTTCGGGGGGGAGGAGATTTTGTCGGTCGCAGAGTGCCCGAGGCTGGTAAAACATTGTGCATAAAAAAAAAAAAAATGAACAAATGAGTTGCTTCATTACAATTGTAGTGAACAAGCATGCCCTCAAAGCTGGAAGCTTGGCAAATTTGCTTATTAATAACATCCCACTGCCTTTCCGGTCTCTTTGCAGCACCAGCCACTGCCTGCCTCTACAAACGGCCTTTCTAAACGCTACTGATATTTGCATTGAAGATGCCGTTTCATCGGGTTGCAACCACCTCCCGTGTCTCCGAAACCGCGTCAATAAAATATTAAAAGCAGTATCGAGTTCTTTCACTTGTCCCGGTCCTTGTGGTCGCTACGATACCTGTCGTAGATCCAGGGGTACCGCTGAACTAGCTAACGAGTTCCATAGGCTTTCTCGGGTACGTCAATCGCAGCGGCACTCCTCTTTGCAGCCTGAGCTGCTTTCCTCACGTCGGAGACGGGCGGGAAGTTCATCGCCGGAGCTTTCCTTGCAAGCAAGCGCGGAGCGACTGACGCATTCGCACGCGGAACAACGTGAACGCCGGTGGCAAGGAGGGCGGAGGAGGGAAGCGCGCCGCGCTGATTGGCCGCGGAGAAAATACGGGAACCTACGTCACGACCCGGGCAGGAGAAAGTTGCAAAAATTTCAACTCTTCAATCCGGGTGCCGGAAGCCGTATTTGCGTCACCGCCCGTACGGAGGGAGCGCTGACGTCACTACGGGTTCCGGCGCCCAGGTTTGCAGTCCGGGTCTGTTTGAACCGGGCTTTAGCGGAGGGGGAAACGCGGTCCTCGAAAACTCCCTACTACTTCAAGTGCCGTAGTTACGTTATCTCTTTACTACAATTACACTTCGATTGTTTTCGTGCTTTTAGGCGTCAAGCCATGTTTTTCTTCGCGTTTTTTCTCGTATTTAGGCGAAACGGTAAGATATAAAGTAATTATGTTCAGTTTCTGCATGAACATAATGTTTCTTGATATATGAGCTTATGCATACCTGTATCGTCAAAACCGCAAACCTGTTAAATGCTAATTTAAAAAAAGTAACGCAGAAGTAACGTGCGTTACTTTTTATCGGTAGCGGTAACGCGTTTGTTTTCAGCGTCGCGTTAAAGTCATGCAGGTTTGCCCCTTTTGAAAATTCCAAAGGTGTCATTCACATACCTACAATACATATTAACCGGAGAAGGTAGGGAGCTGAAAACCTGTGTTTCAAAGTGCTCCATAACCACATTTGCCACGGGAACTGAAACAGGACTTCCCACGGGAAACCCTTCAATTGGATGATAGATCACATTGGACAAACTGAAGTAGGTTTGGTTCAAGCAGAACCGCAATAAAACAATGATCCTCCGCCAGCAAGGACGAACGGCTTTCTAACGTGGAATCATCCTTCAAAAGCGCCTCAATGACGTCGGCAGCCAAGCGAATGGTACATTCGTAAACAAATAAGTATCAAATGACACCATCACATCGTCATTCTCAAGCTGCTGAGTGCGAACGTCAGTGACAAAATCAAGAAAATTCCTAACTGACCGTGAGTTCCCATCAGTTAACGGTATATATTCGTCAGTTCCCGTCTGTTCCCGAAAATGGTTATGTCTCTGCCTCTTTCATAAAATGTATCACCATCATCCTGACATCGAAACGGTGCTTTTTCATCTTCCTCTTCGATCTTCTCGTATATTAACAAACTCAAACTCTGTACAAAGCACCTCTGGATCTGCTAACGTATTTAATAACTCCTTTCCACTTTCAATTTTTGAATGGAACATACTATTTGAGATCATAGTCTTCAACCGTGTGCTTGGGTGCTTTCCGTTCTTGTTTGATTTTATACTCCTATTCTTCACGTAGATTCTGGTACAGCAAACGTCCGCAGTTATGCCGCGCACAGCACTTGACCAGGTTATGACGATAAGTCAACAAAACCGAACGCAATGGTTTCTACGTCTGGACGCAAGCAGCAGCAGGGATGAGACCGCAACGTGCCACAAATTCGTTAACGCATTGTCGTCATCAGTGACGTCATCAGCCCTCTGCAAATACCGGGAGCGTCCGTCCACCGCCTTCAGTGGGCTCGGTGGCAGTTAATTATGTAGAAATCATGTTTATTAATTAGGGTGTTTTCTTTCGTTAGAACTTTCCGGAGTTGCGTCGGCATTGTTTTTTTAGCTTTCTTTGTGGGTGTCGGCGTTTTGGAGGGAGCATTTGCGTGGGCAGAGCGGCCGAGAGGTAAGAGCGGTTCCCCCGCGGTCGTTAAGAAACGTCTCGGGTTTCGGGAGTCTGCTGGGGCAGATCCCTGGGACAGCCCGTTCTTGCAGCTGTTTGTGGCTTTTAGCCGAATGTGCCTGTATATAGAGGGTTTTGCCGCGAACCTGACCTACAACGAGTTCGTATTTGGTACAAGGGACCAGAAAGAAGGGGAGCCCTTTAACGAATGGTTGATTCCCATCCGTGTCCTAGCAAACAACTGCGGGTTTGAGTTGCTAGAAGAACGCCTACTTCGAAGTAGAATAATTCTCGGTATTCGAGAAAAGAAACTTCAGCAGAAGCTAGTCAACGAGAACCCGTCGTACACCAAGGCGGTGGAAATGTGCAGAGCCTGGGAGCAAGGAGAGGAAAGGTGTGGGTGAATACGAAACGAAGGAAAAATACACGAGATCGTCGTTCAAGGAAGCAAGGGTCCATGCCAAAAGTGTGGTTTCGCTGCGCGCAGAACTAGTGTTTGCCCAGCAATCGGGATAAAAATTCAATAAATGCGGAAAACTTAATTACTTCGCTAAAGTCTGCAAAGGATCAGGTACACAGCCAGGATGCAGAAGACTTCCACAAAAAGAAGTGCACAACGCTATGGCTAGCGATGACGAGACGTTTCATCTGGAAGCGTTGACCGTTGGCACTGTGTCTCGTGAAGATTTTTGGGCAGCTTCAGTGAACCTAGAAGGCGTGCCCGTTTGCTTTCAAATAGACACCGGAGCAAACTGCTGCATAATCTCGAAAGCATCTATGCCAACTCACGCAAAGCCAACCAGAAAGTGTAGTGTCATCCTAAGCACGTTCTTCGGCCACTCAGAGAGCGCGTCAGAAAAGGTCTGCCTTGGACCTGCAGTGCGAAGGCAAGAAGTGTCAAGTTGGATTATTTGTGGTGCGCCAAGAGATCCCAGCTACCCTTGAGAGCAGCGTAGCAGAACACCTAGGAATTTTTTTCCGCGTTGCAGTTGTGAGCGGTACGGAACGCTACGAGGCGGCTCCGCCTTTTGAAGCCATTTTCCAGGGACTGAAGGATCTGGTTTTCGACATTAAACTGGAACTAGATTTCAAGGGCGTCGGGAAAGCTGCCAGACGAGTGCCTGTGGCCCTCCAGGACAAAGTCAAGACCGAGCTGGACCGCATGGAAGCTGAGCATGTCACCAAAAAGGTCGGGACCGACCGAATGGTCCAGTCACATCGTTGTTGTCGTAAAAGGACAAGATTAATTTTGCTTGACCTCATCTGACCTCAGTAGATCACTACTCCGTGAACATTACCCTATGCCAACATTAGAGGATGTTTCTCCACAACTCCACGCTGCCAAGTTTCTTTTTAACATTAACCGCGTCATCCGACTTCTGGCAAATGAAGTTGACAGAAGCAAGTTCCTTCATCTGTATCATGAGTACTCCCTATGGCAGATGAGGTTTCCGCGCATGCGATTCGGGATTTCAACAGCACCAAAAGTTTTCCAACGCGCCATGCACGGTGTTTTAGGACTGAACAATGTGCCTGTGTCAGTGACGTTATACCTACAAATAGGTTTTCCGTGGCCGAAAAAAGTAGCTATGTAGAAAGAACCCGTTACTAGGAACTCGTCACATACATGCCTGCGTCGAAATGTGCTGGTGCTGTACACCGCGAAGCATCTGGGATCATGCCATTGGTATTGAGACTACAAAGCTCCAATCACTTTGCGGTCTCGTTGGCGAAACGATGTCGAGTCTCGGAGACCACCTGGCTATGGAAACAAGGGCAGTGAACGCCCTCGTCGTTGGATATACTGATCAAACGAAGACCAATTATGGTTGGGCCAAGTGCATCGCGGGGCAGCATGCACTCAGGAACATATAGTTTACTTGGCAACAGAGGCGGAAAACCGTGGAACCCCGAACCTCTGACTCAATTTATACGTACTGAAACCTCATTAACGGCACCACGGTACGAGTCAGTTTGGTTTATTGGAAGGAAGACTGCCAGCTACAGCTAACGTTGATAAAAGGCTCCCCCCCCCCCCCCCCCCCAAACAAATGAAGTGTCACACACTGTAACGGCCTCTCCTGGAACCAGTTACCTCACACACGCTCCTGTCAGGCCTATCCGAGCGCACACTGATTTCGACACTCTTGGGTTTCCCATCCACCGGGTAGAGCTTGTAGTCTGACGCGTGAATGTCAGACGAACATAAGGAACAGCAGTCCCTGTCCGGTTCGACACTCTTAACCACCGACGACGTGGGCTTCCAGGGCGAAGACACCACAGTTTTGCCCGAAGACCTCCTGCAGAGCAGACAACGTCCTCCGTCTCGGACACGTACCAGCGAGCCGCGCACCTTGTCGGTCAGCTTCTTGGAGCTGGTCGTGTAACTGCCGTACACGAGCGGATTGACGCACGAGTTGGACACGGCGAACATAAAGAGGGACGACTGGAGGTAGCCGTTGACGTGGCCGGCGCCGTCCGGGTCGAACTGGTACCAGAGGACCATGGTCACGTAGGGCGTCCAACACCAGAAGAAGGCCAGAACGATGATGACGGTGAGCCGGAGGGTTCGGTCGCGAGCCCGCTGGATGTGGCGGGTGTCCGAGCGACGGAGACGGAGGCGGCCACGGGCTGGGGCTGAGTCGGTTGCCTGGTCGGCTGCAGAAAGGGACAAAGGCAAGGGTGTCAGGGAGTTCGGAAGTTGCCTTACAATTCGACCACAGGTTCACACGGTGCTGGTTCACATAGCACCGTATTTTTTAATGTTTTCTGACGTTACGGAGAGGTCACCGACACTTTCGTGTATCGGATGTCACGTGCCAGGCTATCTCCCTGAACTGTAGCCAGGCTCAGTATAAAGCACAGACAGATGTCAGTGTGATCCGTACGTAAACTTTCGTAACGTAACGTCAAAAAAATGAAAGACGTTCACTACCCCCTGTGATGCCGAATTAGCGCAGCTCTTGAGGAGGAGTTTGGGAGGGTACGGACGGGACGGTATGCCCTTTTTCCTCATCGATACCGTCTCCCACTCCCTCCTCATCTACTCCTCCCGTGATCTCGCCTCCTCCCCCTCTTCTCCTCCCCTCTTCTTCCTCCCTTTCTCCTTTTCTTCACTCCTCCCTCCTTCTCCGCCCCCCTCCTCCCTCCCGCGCGGTGCATTATGGGAAACGTCCCATAATGCAATGCGCGCGTCACGGCGGTGCATCATGGGACGTTTCCCATAATGCACCGCGCGGTTACGCCGACGCGTTACGGTTACGCCGACGGCGACGGCGACGCCGCTCAAGCCGTAAACGGGCGCTTAAGAGCTGCGCTCTGAAACACCTGTTGTGTGAATTAAAGTTAGACCACCCTAAGAAGCTGGAAGTCGCATCATCCCCGTATTCCCAGTGAAAAATGGCGTCAGTATCATTAAGGGCGCACCATATTTTTTTAGTTGTTTTGCGAATAGCCTTAAGGAAGAGAGCCGGGGGGGGGGGGGGGGTAGGCAGAGAAGTAGAGAAAACTGGCACCTGGACCCCCCCCCCCCCCCCCCTCCTCCTCCTCAGTGCAGCAACTTTGTGTTCCTGTGCTGAGGGAAATGAAAGGGGGGGGGGGGGGGGGCGCATAAGCCTGTCAGGTATTGCGAAGACACTAAAAATCAAATAAAAAAATCGAAAAAAAAAATGCCAGCAGGAATTTTGCAAACATAAATATCACTTCATAATGACACATTGAAGAATTGATACAAATATGAGCATTTCAAATTGACCTGACTATCATGACGTAACGAATTGAGAACAGCATTCTTTAGCGTCCTTTTTGTACAGACGAAGAAAAAGAAGAAAAAAACGAACAAAGAAATAGTGCCTTTTCTAATGAAAGAATAATGGTGCAGCCTGTCTGGTGAACGCTCATGCTTATAAAATCCCGAAACAAGGAGAGAAAAAAAAGAAAAAGAACAAAAGGACAACGCAACGACGTCTCAAAATCGAGACGTCGTTTTGTTGTATTTTTTTTTTCTTTGTCTCTGGGTTTTTTTAAGTCTTCTAATTCTTGATGAGTGCGCCTTTGCTCATTGAATCGCGGCTTCTGCCGAGCTGATAACGCCTTTCACTAGAGTGCCTTCATGTTCGCTTTGGAACTTGAAGGCACCCTACCTTTCACAGCCCAGCTGACAAAGACGGTAGGCCGACTAGTAAACGATTGCTTATGAACGAAACCTGCAAGTTATCTTTGCCTCGGGGAACGCGAATCGCGATCGACGCAAAGTGATTCCTAGCGAATCACGGGGGGAGATAACCTTATTACACGAAGATGCTATCTGCGCAGATCCCATTATCGTGGAAAATCGTTAGCTCAACATCCTGTACGTTGCTCATGTATTCGCCCTTTCTTTGAAACTCAGTGGTGCCATCTATTGGGTAGCTCCGACACACTTCCGGTTCACGTATAGTCCCAAATTTTTTACTCATGATTATTTTATTATTAGAGGAAATGAAAAGTGCCCTGGGGAGGTTTCTGAGATCGCCTAAAAAAGGCGATAACTCACTCGGCTGGCTCTAAGCATCCTAGAAATCCCTAAATCATGAAGATACGCGGCCTATTTCCCTATTAACAAAAAGAAAAAAAAAAAAAAAGCAATCAAAGTTCTCAATACACCGAGGTCATCTCTGGCGACGGGAGGAGCATGTTCCGAAACCAGGACCACTCTCACCCAATAGCGAGCGAAGGATTCTTTACGCCTCCGACCGGTGGAACCGCGGAGTGATATCTCGAATGCGCGCGGCTCGTTGCCCATACAGCCCGGACTACGATTCAATCCAGCGAGTGCGCGCTCGAGAGCCAACGACCGGACAGATCACTCCCGCGGAAAAAAAGAAAAGAAACATAGTTCGTTGTTTTTAAGACGATCGTTGCAGTAATATGTTCCCTCTCCCCCCTAAAATTAACATTTTTAGACTACTCTTACTTGGTTATATCTACAAATGCACACACATTTTGTAACAACAGCGTTTTGCAATCTCAATGAAATGTCGCGTTTTCATTGGTCACATGTCGTCCTGGCTGCGCGACACAATGCTTGCCCATCGCCCGAGATAATTTCGGTCTTTGATCGCCTTTTTAAAAGGGAAGTCGGCCGCGCGTCGTTATGATTTATGAATTTCTAGGATGCGTATAGCCTGCAGAGTGAGTTATTGCCATACTTAGGCGATATCAAAAACCTCCTCACGGAACTTTTTGGTCTGAGAGTGGCCATTTCCAGAAGATGGCACGTATATATGATTTCGCAAATACTGCGAAACCCACCGTTTAGGTCAGAATCGGAAGTATGTGTGTGTGTGTGTGTGGGGGGGGGGGGGGGGGGGGAAGGGGGGGGGGGGCTATTTGCACACTGGGCCACCACGTTCTCTAACTCACGCGAGAAAGAACGAACACATGTGGGCACCGCGGGACAGTACACTTTGTAAATTGTGACTATTTTCACTACTGCATCTGACTGTGCGATCGATTTAGACACGATCAGTTTCAAGCCGCTTTATTGTGACGGCTTACAACCTGCTGCGCAACAACGCATTCGGTCATTAAAGTCACTGGATCCAGTGACTTTACCGGTCGTAAGTCGTCACAAGACGCTTAAAAATAGATCGTGTCTCAGTCGGTCGTATACAGTACATCAAAGGCTGGTCTGTGAACGGGCCTTTGCAAACATGGCCGCATTTGCGTGCTCAGAAACAAGGGCCGGCTTGCGGGAACAGCGTCTCAGCTGAGACTGGGTAAAAGAAAGCACTGCAAAGGCACGCGAGAGTCTTTAGATGCGGTTTGAGTCCCGCTCAGCTCGTGCGCTGGCTTTGGCAGTGCTTTTTTTTTTTTTTTTTCTTTCTACCAGTCTCGGCTGGGACGCTGTTTTTAGCTGGCCAAGCTGCCAGTGTTTGTAGCCATTAAAGGAATACTGAAGTCGATTCTGAGATCGTCCTTTTGTGGTGACAACTCAATCCAGACGCTCTAAGTATCCCAAAAAACCTGAAATCACAATTGTGCGTAGCTTATTTCCTCATTAAAAGCGTGTTTAAAAATCACGACACGCCCTTTTTGGTAAAAATTTTCTTCCAAGAGAAATGGTCGACGAAAGGCGGTTGTCAGCGAGTTGCAAGCGATGCCTGCTTCGCCCGCGGAGAAAAAGAGGAGTCTTATCCGAATGTGTACCTATACAACTCTCTTCGAAACAAGTTATAAAAAAATCGTTCGAAATCTGCGGGTAATGTAGGGCTTTCCTTGTGCCACACAATGTAGTCCGCGAGAAAGAAAGCTCCACACATTTTTCTGTTGCTTGGAGATGAATAGGTGGTTTTGTAAAATAGGACTTGGTATATGGGTGAACTAAAACATTTTAAACAATATAAGATCAAAAGCGACCTTTTTAAAAAATGACTTAAGTGCCCCTTTAGTATAAATAATACGTGACTAAATAAAAAAAAAAAAAAAAGACTCAAAACGTAGTAATCACGGGAGGAGAGGAGTTATCCCCGTGACTTCCCACTTATCTCTGGCATCACACCTTCCGTGGTAATCCTCCGGTTTTATTTTACCCTCTTGACGTCACGTGTGACGTCACGAGGGTAAAATTTCTTCGCTAAATTTAGCGTAAACTGTTTCCCGCTAAAATTAACGGAAAAAAATTAAATACATTTACAATTCCCGGTAATGCCGAATTAGAGCGCAGCTCTTGCGGAGGGGGAGGGGAGGGTACGGAGGAGGAGGATGCACACCTTTGTCGTGACCTTCACGAGTGACCGTGACGTCACGTGTGACATCATTATGGGAAACGTCCCATAATGCAACGCGCGGATCACGAGTGGGACCCGCACGTTGCATTATGCGACGTTTCCCATAATGCACCGCTCGGTTACGGTGACGCCGGCGCCGCTGAAGCCGCAAACGGGCGCCTAAAGGCCTGACCACACTAGCAGCGTGAACGGCGCCGCCGGTCGGCGCCGCTGCGCGGCACCGTCGTCCGGCGTCCCAACGCGAAATGTCCACATTGGCCTCCGTTTTGCGGTAGTCACGTGACAGCACTGGCTCTCGCGATCGCGCGCGCCTGCCTCCCGCCGGATTTTATGCTCTTTCGTCGTCTGCTCTTAGATTCTTCCGTTTCGGCTCTCATCTTTCGCATATATCAGCATCGAAATTGCAGTCGCTGCCTACATGGTAGGTGTCCATGATGACCTGGTGATCAGCGCGAATGTGATTATCCTAGCCTGCTCGTTGATCTTGCGACGTCGCCGCGCTCTGAAGGGAAGGAGACGCAGGTTTTGGGTCCGGCCGAGTTGGTTCTACCGAAACACCGAAGGACAGGTCAGTGCTTTGCTGCCCCGGCGGCGCGCCAGAAATGAAGGTATACTTTCGAGAGTGTCACCGAATAAACACAACATCCGTCAAAACACAGACGACATGCAACAAGTGCCACGGAGAAACTCACTTCTAATTCCGAATTTCTCTACTATAATTTCCCAACGGTTGTTCTTAGCGTCCATATCTAGGTAGTCTGACTGCGCCTTGTCATATAAAAAGGGAAACAGTCGCACAGTTTCGAGGAACCGCTCCGTTGGGAAAGGCATTGGGGGAAATAGGGATACCAGACGAAACAAAACGGCGCTACGTTCCTTCGGAACGTG